AGTGAAGTAGACCATTCAGTTTTTTACTGTCATTCTTCTTTCGGGAAATGTGTTTACTTAATAGTATATGTTGATGATATTGTCATTACAGGAAATGATGTTGTTGGAATATTTCAACTAAAAGAGTACTTGTGTAGACATTTTCAATCCAAGGATCTTGGAAGTCTCAAATACTTCTTAGGCATTGAAGTAGCACAATCAAAAGATGAAGTTGTAATCTCCCAAAGGAAGTATGCTCTTGATATATTACAAGAAACAAACATGATTGATTGTAGACCGGTAGACAGTCCCATGGACCCAAACCAGAAATTAAGGACAGAAGAAGGTGAATTATTCTCCGATCCAGAGAGGTATAGGAGGCTGGTTGAAAAACTGATTTATCTCACTATTACAAGGCCAGATCTATCCTTTGCAGTTGGAGTGGTTAGTCAGTTCATGCAGGCTCCATGTGTTGACCATTGGAATGCTCTCATTCGCATTCTAAGGTATGTAATGAAGGCTCCCGGGCAAGAATTGTTATATGAAGATAAAGGAAGCATTCGGGCCTCTGGGTATTGTGATGCAGATTGGGCAGGTTCACCTATTGATAGACGGTCTACTACAGGATATTGTGTTTTTTTGGGAGGAAACATTATTTCATGGAAAAGTAAGAAACAAAATGTAGTAGCTTGATCAACCGCGGAAGCCGAGTATAAGGCAATGACATCACTAACATGTGAACTTATATGGGTTAAACATTTCCTTCAAGAGGTTAAATTTTGTGACATCCATACTATGAAGATGTATTGCGACAATCAAGCTGCTCTCCACATTGCATCAAATCCAGTGTTTCACGAGAGGACTAAATATATAGAAGTTGATTGTCATTTTGTTCGTGAAAAGTTGTTGACTAAAGAAATATGTACTAACTTTATTGGGTCAAACTATCAACTCGCAGATGTATTGACCAAGTCATTATGGGGTCCTCGGATTGAGTTCATTTGTTCCAAGCTTGGTACATACAATTTGTATGCTCCAGCTGGAGGGAGAATTTTAGGATATTTATCCTATTTTATCATCATTATATTGTGTCAAGGGTTATCCTATTTATCATAATTATATTGTGTCAAGGGTTACCATATTTATCATGATTATATTGTGTCTAGGATTATCCTATTTATCATGATTATATTGTGTCTAGGGTTACCATATTTATCATGTACTTCTGTATCAATTTATTCTTATAAATAGGAGATTGTGAGAGGGATCAATCAAGCCCTCTAAAATTATTTTACAGTTTAATTCTCAAGTTTTTCCATTATATTTTTATCTCAAATTAGTTTTGAATTTTTATTGTGTCATGTTATTGATTTCATGTTTAACTTCTAGGCATGCTCATCCTGGAAATCCATATGTATATGGACTTGCTGCAGTTGATCATGATCTCAACTTTCCCGAACCAATGCCTGTAATAGGTATTGATGTTTTTCTTTTACCTATTTGTACTAATTAGAATATTACCATTTCTTTTAAAATTATAACTTCTTTTGCACCACTTATTACTCAGGACAAATATTTTGTGTATAACATAACTTTATTGTTAGTAAGAGATTATGAGGTCTAATTTTTTTTGATTTTTTTATTTTATAAAATGTGTTAGGTATCACTTTGAACTGAGACCAACCATTACCATTCTAGGGATGTGATACTCTGACAAAAGCTTGAATCTCTCTACATTAGAAACACCAACCATAAGAGAAATACAGCTACTACTAGAATACCATTTGTCATACTAGAAATTAATTTAATCACCATTTCCAACAATCATAGAGGATGACTTGTACAACAATCTTATTATATGTAGATTTTAAAAATCTAGCTCTCATAATAAAGACCAAGGCATATTGCTATAAGAAAAATCCTGAGCCAATCTAAGCAAATAAGTCTTATTTTCAACCTAAGTATTCACAAAATGCAGATCCCCTTCAAATTTATTATTTACACATTTATTATTACACAATTGACTCCACTTAACACTAACCAATTACGACTAAGAAGCCATTTATAATTCTTGAAACTATAAGAAAAAGCACCAATAGTAACCCGGTTGATCAATTGAATTCTACTCATCATACTAAGAGCTTTACTTTTCCAAGAGGCAAGTTTCACATGAATTTTATCAGCTGCGAGTTTAAAATATTGAGTTTTGGGTGCCCCCAAAATGATACGAACACCTAAATAAGATATAGGAAACTAGCCTATATTGCAGCCAAGTAAATTTTTAATCTGCCTATTGAAATGGTTAGTCATCTGTACTATAAAATTGACATTCAACCATTGTCGAGAACCATTCCATACAAATGGAGGAATTTCATTAGGTGATCCAGAGTGTTTTTATTAGCTTTGCAGAAAACAAAGACATCATCAACATAAAACATGAGGTGGAAAAGAATAACCTTTGGGATTAGCCATAGCTAGGATCTTCTTGGAATCCAAAAAAAAAATCCCTATAATCAAAATACTTTATATGCTGAGATTATGTGGGTTATTTTGGCTATTAAGAATCTTGGACTTATGATTATAGGCGGGTGTGGTTGGAATTGAGTCTACTTTGGTTTGGTGAGCCTTTCTATATCCTCAAATTGTTTTGTGGTCACTTTGAGGGAGATGGTGGAAATTCATGAAGAGTTGTGATGCTATGGAGTTCAAAGTAATCTACATCTTTTGTGAAGGAAATTCTTGTGCAAATAAGCTAGCAAATTTGAGGATTGATAAAAGACACGAGTTTTGGTTCCCCTCTCCCACACACCACCACCACCACCACCCCTTGTTTAGTTTGATTTTATTTGTTCTTTCTTTTTCAATAAATTGTTTCATGTAATGGAAAATGATTGTTGAATTGTGGGTGTCATTCTAGCTCAGAGGTCATGGTTCAAAGGGATGCCTAACATGAATTTTATATAAAAAAAAGTGGGATGAATCTGAGGTTATATTGTGAACAATGAATCTGCAGTTAGCATAATTCACAACCCAGTACAACATGATAGAACTAAACACATTGAAGTGGACATTCATTTTATCAAAGAAAAGCTTGACCGTGGCATGATTTGCACTCCATATGTTTCTACCGAAGTAGAATTTGCAAACATACTCACCAAAGGGTTGAACAATAGTAACTCCGAGAGAATTATGTCCAACCTAGGAACGGGGAACACTTATTCACTAGCTTGAGTGAGTGTCAAAATATGTTTTAGGAGGTTTCAAAAATTATTCCTGTTGTTTTTAATTTTGTATATTTATCTTGTTTTTATTACTAGCATATTAATCTCACAATCTCAGATTTGTTCGGTGGAATAGGCTGTTCTTATTTCCAAAATTATCCAACAAATATATGTTTATGTGTATGTAAATATAACGAGAAAGAAATAATTTTGTTCTAAACTTGAGAATATAGGATCTGCTCCTTATTTCTATAACTATAACAACATTGAAATGATAAGTTTGAAACATGTCTTTTTATTGTAGGAATATCTTATTCTGCGAGGGGCTATTGCATTAACATGGTGCTAGAGACTATGAAAACATTCTCCTCTGAAGATTGCTTGACAGAAGAAGCAATTGTTACAAAGCTTCGTACTTGTCAATATCATCACTTATTTTTGCATACATCTTTAAAGCAGGATTCTTGTGGTTTGTACTTTCTCATTCTTTGCTGTTCTTTTTATGAAAATATTGGGCCGGATTTTGGTTTACAAGGTGACTTTCTATGAAGGACATGTCAGAGGTCACATGTTAGATTTGATGTTCCTTTTTATAATATTTTTTTTTTTGTTTAGGTAGATTCTATCCTTTACATAGTTGTATTTTCTCCTTGTTTGTTATAATATTTATTTGATATATATGAAAATAAAATTAAAAATAAAAGCAAAAACTGTGACCAATGTTATCATGGTGCTGGTTACGTAATTGTTCTTATCTATAAATGGTGTTTATGTAACACAGCATATAGAGATCATTTTTAGATATTGATTGGAGGTCTCTACCAATATTACATTTAGCCCAAGTATTGATAGGAGTTCTCCACCTGACCGGAGTAACTTTGATAGAATAGAGAGATAATTAGTAGATATAAATACTTTTTGTGTTCCTCATCTTTCTTAAGCATTTGAATATTGTTTTCATAGGAACATGCAAATGGGGAGAATTCGGTGAGGGGGGTCTCCTATGGGGAGAATGTAGTTCAAGACATTTTGAATGGTTTGATGGCAACCCTCTCTCTGATCTCTTGGTCAAGGTATATAAACAAATTATATAAACTTTTTTGCATTTTCCTTTTCTAAAATGAATGGTACACAAATGAGTCATTTAACATTACATGTTTATTTCACTTTTGAACATAGGTAAAGGAGCTTTATGGCCTTGGTGATGAGGTTAATTTTCGGAACACAACTGTATCCTCGGCACATAGGGCTCGACCTTTAACTCTTGGAACATCTACTCAAATTGGTTTGTATATTACTAATGATGGATTGTTAGTTGTCCAGATGTCATTTTCTTTTTCTTAAACCAGTGTCTTGCATTTTAGGTGCCATTCAAACGGAAGGAATACCTTCTTTGTTAAAGGTCTTACTTCCACTTAGTTGCAACGGATTACCAGTTCTGTGAGTGACGGATTCCTTTTTCCTTTTGTTGTATCATGTTTAAAATTACTCCATGATAATTATTTTACCCACTTGCCTTTAAACTTTTCCTATTTATTACATACTTAACCTTTTCATTTTATAAAAGACTAGTTCTATCTTTTTTTTTTCTTTTNATCTTGTTTTTATTACTAGCATATTAATCTCACAATCTCAGATTTGTTCGGTGGAATAGGCTGTTCTTATTTCCAAAATTATCCAACAAATATATGTTTATGTGTATGTAAATATAACGAGAAAGAAATAATTTTGTTCTAAACTTGAGAATATAGGATCTGCTCCTTATTTCTATAACTATAACAACATTGAAATGATAAGTTTGAAACATGTCTTTTTATTGTAGGAATATCTTATTCTGCGAGGGGCTATTGCATTAACATGGTGCTAGAGACTATGAAAACATTCTCCTCTGAAGATTGCTTGACAGAAGAAGCAATTGTTACAAAGCTTCGTACTTGTCAATATCATCACTTATTTTTGCATACATCTTTAAAGCAGGATTCTTGTGGTTTGTACTTTCTCATTCTTTGCTGTTCTTTTTATGAAAATATTGGGCCGGATTTTGGTTTACAAGGTGACTTTCTATGAAGGACATGTCAGAGGTCACATGTTAGATTTGATGTTCCTTTTTATAATATTTTTTTTTTGTTTAGGTAGATTCTATTTCTATCCTTTACATAGTTGTATTTTCTCCTTGTTTGTTATAATATTTATTTGATATATATGAAAATAAAATTAAAAATAAAAGCAAAAACTGTGACCAATGTTATCATGGTGCTGGTTACGTAATTGTTCTTATCTATAAATGGTGTTTATGTAACACAGCATATAGAGATCATTTTTAGATATTGATTGGAGGTCTCTACCAATATTACATTTAGCCCAAGTATTGATAGGAGTTCTCCACCTGACCGGAGTAACTTTGATAGAATAGAGAGATAATTAGTAGATATAAATACTTTTTGTGTTCCTCATCTTTCTTAAGCATTTGAATATTGTTTTCATAGGAACATGCAAATGGGGAGAATTCGGTGAGGGGGGTCTCCTATGGGGAGAATGTAGTTCAAGACATTTTGAATGGTTTGATGGCAACCCTCTCTCTGATCTCTTGGTCAAGGTATATAAACAAATTATATAAACTTTTTTGCATTTTCCTTTTCTAAAATGAATGGTACACAAATGAGTCATTTAACATTACATGTTTATTTCACTTTTGAACATAGGTAAAGGAGCTTTATGGCCTTGGTGATGAGGTTAATTTTCGGAACACAACTGTATCCTCGGCACATAGGGCTCGACCTTTAACTCTTGGAACATCTACTCAAATTGGTTTGTATATTACTAATGATGGATTGTTAGTTGTCCAGATGTCATTTTCTTTTTCTTAAACCAGTGTCTTGCATTTTAGGTGCCATTCAAACGGAAGGAATACCTTCTTTGTTAAAGGTCTTACTTCCACTTAGTTGCAACGGATTACCAGTTCTGTGAGTGACGGATTCCTTTTTCCTTTTGTTGTATCATGTTTAAAATTACTCCATGATAATTATTTTACCCACTTGCCTTTAAACTTTTCCTATTTATTACATACTTAACCTTTTCATTTTATAAAAGACTAGTTCTATCTTTTTTTTTTCTTTTTTTTTTTTTTTAAATCAAAGGAAAGAAAGAATGCTATAACATCAATCATATGCAACATTCTTAGAATAATTATTATTGGAAATGAAATACAAAAGTGGAGAGGCAAAGCCAACCCACTAAGAAAAAAGAAAGTGCGGAAGACCATACCTATCTCAACGAAAGTCAGAAACAATAAAAGTAGGTACACTATTCCACCTAGAAAAAACAGAAGATCTCAAACCATAAGCTGCTAAACCATCATCTGGAAATATGAGAAAATCTGAAATTTTTACTTTTGATGGGCTCTAAAATGTTGAGCCATCTATTTCTTAGCTTCCAGGGTACCAAGGAACTATCATAATAAGATTTCATAGTAAGCAAGAAATCAGTCTCAATCAAAGAGCTCTCCACCCTTTTTGCATAGTAATCTTGATAGCATGTATAGCTCCTCCCATAAGCTCTGATTCCAAGGCTGACTGTGCTTGTAAAATTATTGAAAAGCAACCCATAATTTCTGTTTTCGAATTCCTAAAGATACCACCACAAGCTGATTTTCGTNTATATAAACAAATTATATAAACTTTTTTGCATTTTCCTTTTCTAAAATGAATGGTACACAAATGAGTCATTTAACATTACATGTTTATTTCACTTTTGAACATAGGTAAAGGAGCTTTATGGCCTTGGTGATGAGGTTAATTTTCGGAACACAACTGTATCCTCGGCACATAGGGCTCGACCTTTAACTCTTGGAACATCTACTCAAATTGGTTTGTATATTACTAATGATGGATTGTTAGTTGTCCAGATGTCATTTTCTTTTTCTTAAACCAGTGTCTTGCATTTTAGGTGCCATTCAAACGGAAGGAATACCTTCTTTGTTAAAGGTCTTACTTCCACTTAGTTGCAACGGATTACCAGTTCTGTGAGTGACGGATTCCTTTTTCCTTTTGTTGTATCATGTTTAAAATTACTCCATGATAATTATTTTACCCACTTGCCTTTAAACTTTTCCTATTTATTACATACTTAACCTTTTCATTTTATAAAAGACTAGTTCTATCTTTTTTTTTTCTTTTTTTTTTTTTTAAATCAAAGGAAAGAAAGAATGCTATAACATCAATCATATGCAACATTCTTAGAATAATTATTATTGGAAATGAAATACAAAAGTGGAGAGGCAAAGCCAACCCACTAAGAAAAAAGAAAGTGCGGAAGACCATACCTATCTCAACGAAAGTCAGAAACAATAAAAGTAGGTACACTATTCCACCTAGAAAAAACAGAAGATCTCAAACCATAAGCTGCTAAACCATCATCTGGAAATATGAGAAAATCTGAAATTTTTACTTTTGATGGGCTCTAAAATGTTGAGCCATCTATTTCTTAGCTTCCAGGGTACCAAGGAACTATCATAATAAGATTTCATAGTAAGCAAGAAATCAGTCTCAATCAAAGAGCTCTCCACCCTTTTTGCATAGTAATCTTGATAGCATGTATAGCTCCTCCCATAAGCTCTGATTCCAAGGCTGACTGTGCTTGTAAAATTATTGAAAAGCAACCCATAATTTCTGTTTTCGAATTCCTAAAGATACCACCACAAGCTGATTTTCGTCCATGATCAAATTATGTTCTATCTGTATTGTATTTTATCCATCCTGTTTCAATGGGAGTCCAATCCACTTGAGCAGTCTTATTTGACTTCCTTGACCGCAAACAACTTAAAAGGCCATACTAAGTTTGAATTCTGCAATAGTGGAGTAGAATGCATGTTACTTGTTTCCAAAGAACCAGAAAGATTCACAACAGTGAAAATTCTGTTTTTGATATGCTGGTATTGAGTCTGCTGTCCCTCAAACATACTGAAAATTACCTTTCATTTTACATAACTGTATATTTTAGTTAAAAACAAGCTTTATGCTTTTTCGTTATTAATTCTTTATTATGGACAGCCACTAAAATTTTCTTTTTTCTTGTTGATGCATTTTGTTTGCATTTGCAAGATGTTTTTTATTTTTTTATTTTTTTAAATTATTATTATAAGTTCATGAAGATATCTGTTAGGTTTCTATGTTAGAAAACCTAACTTTCTCACAACACCCACTCACACAAAGGCAATATAAGCAAGAGAAAACAAAGGAAATGCGTAAATTCACTGTAATTGTATAACGAAAAGGAATAACGATTCGGGAGCCTAATCCCCCTCAACAAGGTCCAAGACCTGGTTACACAACGTAAGAAATGGCTAGCTGCCCTCTAACAAAGAATAAAACTCTATTTATATAAGATCTCCCATCCCGCCTTTCCTAACCGCTCTCTCATTTTCCCGCCTTCTATCTTCTTACCTTAGATCCTATCAATATCATTAAAAACTAGAAAAAAAGAAACAAAGAACTCATGGGGGACCAAACCAAAACCCATGACCAAAGAACAAGCTAGTTAGCTATAAGGCAATCCATTAGCTAAACTTCCCTATACATGGGAAGAAGACATTTATTATGAAAGAAGTCCAAAGTTATAAACGCTGGTTTATTGCATTTGCAAGATGGTTTGATTGTTTTGCTTGTTCTATTTTTCCATTTAGTTTGGTTGTTTTATTTTTTTTATTGCAACCTAAAGTTTCTGTGTTCCCCTTAACTCTGGAAAGAAGTTTAGAAAAGGAAAAAAGTTTCAAGGGATTGATGGAAGGGTGAAGATAGCTTTGTTGTAAAATGTGGGTATATAGTCTGACTGTGTTGAGTTAACTGTTTATTTTGTTTATATTTTCTAGTTTTGAACCATTTAATTGTGTAATTCATTGACTTAACTGGACTAAAATTTTCAATATGAATTGTTTATTTTTCCTATTTTCCCCCTTTTGTTTTAGTTTTAATAATTAACTTTAGCTCAAAGTAGTGTCCTGGCAATTAATTCTAGAATCCATATTAGATGATTAATTTATGTTTGCTTCGCAGGTATATAAGGAATCTTCTCTTGAATCCTCCTTCTTATGAGATTGCATCCAAAATTCAGGGTAATTTTTAATAGTTTAACTAGAAAAGGATTTGGATATATGAGAGGAGAAAAAAGATCTTAACTGAATTGGAAGTCGTACATAAGCATATATATATATATATATAT